CATGTGTGCCCAAAATCCTGAGAGGAGAATGGAGGAGAAGGGATTGTGTCATGGCCACCCCCTCTGGGGGGTAATTTCTCACTCTCTGTTTCTCCAGTGAGTGCACATGCCTTATAGCAAAAAAATATCTCTCTCAAAAAAGATTCATCTGTTGTAAACATCTTATTGCATTTGCTTTATCATTCTCTTTCTCTATCTCTACACACACATACGCACTTTTTTTTGTGAAACACTAGAAGTATGGTAAATTGCAGACATCATGTCCCTTTACCTTATAATACTTCAATGTATGCTTCCTAAGAACAAAGGCATTCTGTTAGATAAACACAGTGGGGTTACCAAATTCAGGAAATACAACATTGCTACAGTTTGGGGGAGGGGTTCCTCCAAACAGTTCATGGAAGGTGCAGATTATGAAGATACTGTGCACGGATTTCAATTTTTTTCCATCAAAATAAACTTGTACTTTAATTCCATTTGCCACTAACTTTTTGAAGTTTTATCATAATATTATATAATCTACAGTTCATATTCAAATTATAATTGGCTCAGTAATATCCTGTCTAGCTTCCCCCCCCCTCCATTCATGACCCTGTTCAGGATCACAAATTGCACGTATTATAGTTGTCATGTCTCCAAATCCTCCTAAGTCTCCCTAAATCTGGAACAGTCCTTAACCTTTCTTTATCTTTCATGACATCGACATTCTTGGAAGAGAAGAGGCCAATTATTTTGTCAAACCTCCCTCAAATTCCATTTCTCGGATGTGTGTTCATGGTGAGAGTCAGGAATGAAACATAAGGGGGCTGCTGGGTTTTTTACTGTAAGGATATTTTGTATTTTCTTTTTATACTTAATAACTAACATATGGAGAAATACTTAGAGACTATGCAATTATCATGTTTCTCATAAAAATGTCATTCACTAATTGTAGGATCTATTGATGACTTTTGCCCAGATCAGATGCTACATTGGTAGTTGCCAAATAGTAATTTTCAAAATAATACATATGTGCTGAGTAGCATATGTTCTGTAGAAGAGATGCCTCCTTTGCTAGGATAGTGGCCTCTGATTAGCTGTAAGAGAGAAGCAGGGGCCTAGACAAGCTGGCAGCCTGGCTCTAAAGTACATGATACTTAGTAGTACTTGGAAACCTTAGAGGAGGTAGTTCTCCTGCTAGTCCACCTGCCTCCTACGGGCCCAGAATGGGCTCCATAGCCTCCGCAAGATAGTGTCCATGCTGAGCACTAACAGCAGCAGCTGTTTGCTAAGGCCCCCGGCCTGCCTGCACTTGCTATTCTCCGTCTAACTTCAGAGCACAGCGGGTGAAGGGGGGGGGGGGGGCACTTTTGTCTTCCATTTGAACTTATTTGAAAAGTATTAAATGGGGCCAGCAGACCTGTGGAGGTTAAGGCACCTAATTCCCACATGGCTGACTGAGCAGTTAAGAGTCCCAGACCTGGTGAATTGAAAAATATGCCAAGTGCATACATGTACACTCAAAAAATCCCGACAGGAGAATGGAGGAAGAGGAATTGAGGCATGGCCATCCCCTCTGGATGTGCTTTCTTCACTTTCCCTCTCTCTCTCTGTCTCTAGTGAGCGCATGTACCCTATAGCAAAACAATTTTAAAAAGCATCCTATGCGGGAACCAGCAGTTAGCGTAATGGCTATGTCGCTGGACTCCCACGTAGTCGACCGCGGTTCGTGTCCCGGACCCGGCAGCTTAAAATTCACGCCAGGCGCGTGTGCGTGCGTGCCCAAGATCCCGAGAGGAGAATGGAGGAGAAGGGATTGCAGCGTGACCATCCCCTCTGGGGGGTGATTTCTCGCTTTCTGTCTCTATGTCTCTCTCTGTCTGTCTGGCGAGCGCACGCGCCCTATAGTGAAAATCTCTCCAAAAAAAAAAAAAAAGCATTCCATGGAATTCAATATCACACACAAGCTCTCCTGCCTTTCTGGAGACCCATGTTTTGAACCACTTGGATGAAGCCATCATTTTCATTTACAGATTTCACGTGGATTCATTTTCATGTGAATTCATGTACAGAAAAGGAATGGGCACGATGGTGGAGGTTGGAGAAAGTGTGTGGCAGTGCTATTTCTGTTTGGGGACTACATTAGTTTCCTAAGGCTGCCGTAACACAGTGTCTGGGGGGTTTGGAGCAACAAAATTTATCCTCTGACAGTTTGAGAAGCTAGGAATGAAATCAAGCTGTGGACAGGACCATACTTCCTCCAAAGTTTGTAGGGAAGAGTACTTCTTTGCTTCCTCCAGCTTCTGGTAGCCCCATGCATTCCTTGACTTGTGGTTACACAGCTCCAATCTGTGCCTCTTCACATGGCCTTCTTCCCTCTGAGTCTATCTGTATCTTCACAAGGTGTTCTCTTCCCCTCTCTCTCTGTATCCAAATTTACTTCTTCCTACAAGGACGCCAGTCATACTTGGATTACAGCCCACCCTACTGACCTCATCTCGACTTGATTACATCTACAAAGACCCTATTTCCAAATAAGGTCACACTCATAGGTAGTGGGGGTACCACTTCAATATATCTTCTGGCAGGACATGATTTAATCCACAACAGGGAGCAGATCTGAAATCTAACCCGTTTGAGAACACAAAGTGACCTGCTGTTCTCTATAATACTTATCCCTGTATAGCACAACTCTCCATCTCTTCTGATCACTCTGGTTTTGGTTGGCTTACCAAAGGAAGGAAATGAGACAGGCAGAACATGCTCAGCCCCCTTGAAATATCCTTACAAGTAATTTTCAAGTGATAATAAGCTATTCATGTAACCATTACATAGAGGACAATAATAGAGAATAATCACAGTCTGCAGAGTGCTTGCCCCTACATTCCCTCATACAATTCTAATAATTGCTTTGTGATATAAACATATTTGTCACCACTTGACAGATGGAGAGCATGAGACTCAGAGAGGCAATGTGACTTCCTACTGGCTGCACAGCTTCTGATTTAAGAAATTGTCCACAAGGCAGGATCATGTCTGTGATGCAAAGCATAGCCCCATAGTAGGCACCCAGTAAATATTACCTGCCAGAATAAGTGAAAGAATGAATAAATGCAAGTCAGAATATGAAAAAGAGGCATTATATGTCCCCACTCAATATATACCGAATGTCTGCATCTATGGCAGAAACTGAAAGAATGGAAGATATAAAAACAAGGAGAGCAATAGTGGATACTAGAGACAGTGTAGCAGGGGAGGGAAGAAATGAAGAGGGTGAGAGGGAGGGAATCAAGGGGGAAAAGAAAAGAAACAAAACATTTAAGACACAAAATTCGAAAATTATCTGTTGATGATGATGTGTATAGCAATATCTTTGACTGGACTAATATATAGTTTATTCATCCTGGGAAAAAAGTTTTTAAAATTAAAGTGAAAATCTTCCCCCTATTAAAAAAAGAATGAATAACTGCAGATGGCGGCATGGTCCCAAGACAGTGATTGGGGTATAGATGTAAGTGGATCAGTTCCAGATTCTCTTCTTATATTGGATGGCTTTCTGAATTCTGTGGCAATAAGCGTGTAAGTCTGTAATTGATTCTTGTTCCTGTTCCACACCTGATAAACTAATCAAGAAGCCATTTTTGTCAAGATACTTAAGCTATTAGCTTCTAATTTTATTTGAGCTGCAGAACACTTGCCTAAAATTATGTTTGCACTAAAGTAGGCCTTATCACATGAAGACTTGTACTTAAATAATCTATCAAAGAGGTGAAGAATTCATTGTGTCTCCTTCATATCTTTGAAATAGAATGTTGGTGTTCTCTTAGGCTGATTTGCAGAAGCCATTAGCAGCACTGAGGCAGCCAGGAAAGCTCTGTTTAGCCTAACACGAGAGGATTTACTAGCAAGGTAGTGTGTGTCCAGTTCTAGGCTAGGTACTAGAGGAGAAAGAAGAAAGGAAAGCTCCCTCAAGGAGCTTCCACTCTATTGAGCCATATGGCAGCCACATGGGCAACAATGAGCAGAGCAAGGAGGAGGCTAACGTGAAGGCTTTTTGGGTACCAGACACTTTCCAGAACCCTATAAGGCAGGGATTACTCCCATTAAATAGAAGAACAAACTGAGGGTCAAAAAAGTATAGATACAACTTGCCCAAAATCATGTAGTTATTCAGAGATAGAACTAGGATCTGAACCCAGGCCCCTCTGACTCAAAGTAAGGGAATAATATGAGACAACTCAGGGGCCAGCAGGTGGTGTGGTGGTTAAGGCACACTATATTCCCATGTGGTCAACTGCGGTTTAAGTCCCATAGTATGTATGCCCAAAATCCCAGAAGAAGAATGAAGGACAAGGGATTGGCTACACCCCGCTAGAGAGTGACTTCTCACTTTTCCTCTCTGTCCTTCTCTGGAAAGCACACGCGCCCTATGACAAAAACCTAGAAAAAAAATATATATGAGACAACTTATAGTCATGTGCTAGGATGTGTGGGTCAGATGAGATAGTACTGAAGAAGTTTCAGGGAGATGCATGGGATGTATGAAGGCCAAAACGGGGCCTCTGGGAGACAGAGTGTCAGGAATCTGACAGCCTGCAGCAGGTGTTCCCATCCTAAATCCCTTTATAACCTTCCCATTAAAGCCACCTGTTCCCACTGAAGGGCTCAGGCTTTGTCCAGCTCTTTTTCTGGTGTACTTTGGGAGAGGAGGAGGAGGAGCTGGTTCAGATTTCTACGTTCAACTCAAACTGCCTCCTCTCTGTGACTAGTTGAACTGCTTATTCTTCCAAGTGTCTGACTTCCTGGGCCAATCTCTCCATGCATTTCAACCCCAAAAGCACAGCTCCCTCTGGGCCAATAGGAAGTTTTCTGCTTTGGGTGGTGGCCTGGTACCCATCATTTCAGAATTACAAGTCTCCACACTTTCCTGGCTTGCTCTCTCCCTCCTTTCTGCCCTTATGTGTCTGTCCACATCAAATGAGGTGTAAAGAATTTAACATGTTTCTGCTTTTTTTCCACAGCAGGGAGAAGAACTGGCTTAGTCAGATATAGAATCTTCCCAGTTTGCTCAAGGCATTACCAATGGAATAGCTCCATCTGTAACCTCAGATAGATCCGTAGGTTGAAATAAAAGAAGTGATGTGCATTCTCTAACATTCCCACCCTTCCCTACAAGTGGAGAAATCAAAATGGAAAAGCTGGTTCCTAAGTCTGTAGTTCTGGTTTTCAGGAGTCACGGTGTGATGGTGCATGGGATGGGGTGGAGTAGGCTTCTCTCAAAAGAAAAATCGAGTATGGTTTTGTAGGGCACTTAATAGAAATGCAAGGGGCTGGCTCCATGGTGTAGTGGTAATGTGCTACTCAATAGAAGCCAGATCCCACATGGCCACTGTGGTTTAAATCCCCAGCCTGACCAGCCTCATACAGGCCAGACCCACACACAAGTGCCCAAGATCTGGAGGACTGGAGGAAGGAGATCATGGTATGATCATATGCTGATGAGGGTGCTCATCTCTCTCTCTCCCTCCCTCCCTCTCTCTCCCTCTCTCTCTCTCTCATCCAATCATGCACATCTTCTATCATGAATAAAGAAAAAAGTGAATACTTTAAGGTTTTAAAAAACTTTTTCAAAATAATAATAATTATAGATTCATAGAAAGTTGCCCTTAACCCAACTGTCTCCAATGATAATATCTCACATAATTATATACAACATAAAGGCCAAAAAATGTGACAGGTACAGTATGTGTGTCTAGTCTATTTCTTTCCTTTCCTTTCTTTCTTTTCTAGTCAGGGAATGAGTGTATTCACCAGAGAGAGAGAGACAAACGCCACCCCCCATCCCGCAAAGGGGCATGGCAACACCACAATTATTTTTCCTCCATTTCTCAGTCTTTGTCATGATCCTGGGCACACACACACACATGCACCCAGTGTATTTTGTAAGGTACAAAGGCTGGAATTCGAACTGTGATCAGCCATGTGGGGTCTTTCAATCCCTGTGCTATGGAGCTAGCTCTCTAGTTCTATACAATTTTGTTATATTAGGGCCAAGTATATACTGTCAGAGGTTCCGTTTCCTCATCTGCAAAAGAGGCATAAATAATAGCATCTGTCAGGCTAGCCACATAACTTAGTGGTTAAGGGAGTTGGATCTCACATGGCAAGACTGTGCCATTCAAATCCCAGCCCAGTGGCTTAAAAAACATGCTGGGTAGATTTGTATATGTGAGCCAGATCCTGGCAGAGTGGGAAAATGGAGAAGATGGGATGGTGGCATGACCAGGCCCTATTGGAGGGTGCTTTCTCTCTCTCTTTTTTTCCTCTCTCTCTCTCTCTTTGGCAAGTGTACATGCCCTCTGGCAATTAAAAATAAAAATATCTTGTCAAACTAACCTTAGAAAGGTAATAATTGACATAAAAAGAGAGCTTGAAATGTTTTTATGAAGGTGACTAATACATTTTAAAATACAGTATTCTTAATACACACTAATTATTCGTACACAGCATTATAAAATGTACTTCAGTGTTTAAAAGACATTCTTAAAATAACTTGAAGTCTTATGTACTTTACCTCAGGTGCTATTTGTTTTTGTTTTTGCTTATTTTGACTCATTTCTTAGTATTGTTCTTTCTTTCTTTCTTTTTCTTTCCTTTTTTTTTTTTTTTTTTTTTTTATTGGTATGAAGGCAAGGTTGGTCAAGGTAGCTGGAATCCACACAGCCAAGTACAAGGTTTAAATGCCAGACCTACCAGCTTGAAAAACACACTGGGCATGTGTGTGTGTGCCCAGAATCCCAAGAGGAGAATGGAGGAGAAGGGATTGTTGCATGGCCATCACCTTGGGAGGTGCTTTCTCATTTTCCCTCTCTCCTCTGTCTCTCCCCAGTGAGTGCATGCACCCCATAGCAAACAAAAAAAAATTATTAGTTTGTTGGGAAGGTCATGACACATTTTTCTGGTTTTCTATGCAAAAAAATGTGACATGACTTTCCAGATGTCCAAATATTAAATCCATTAGAACATGATACAAAGTGATCCAATACTTACATGGCACAGGAGATACACTAAGAATTTGATTTCATGCATAAAGACAATTAGATCCATTGAACCAGTAGGTTTACTGCTTTTCAATAGGATTACTGTTTCACAACTGCAAGTGGTGTCCAGATCACTTGGTTATAAAGTAGAAAGCCAATAATAACCCCTTGGTGGCCTATCACCAGGCCAGTTTGAGCAACTCTTCACCTGATCTTTTTTTATGAGGGCAGAGTGTCCTGAACTGGATCCCTGGGGCTTTGAGCTGAGAACTTCATCAGGTTCTTGGTAGAGGCTAATTAATCATCAAATCAGCTCATTGCAAAACCAAGTAGCCATGCTGATCCATTAATGTGGGTCCCCAGAGTCATTAGAGCAGCAAAAGAGAAGGAAATGGCCTAATCTCTTCCTAGGATTGGAGAAGAGAAGTTCCTGAGATCTAATGAGTTCCTGCTAAACTGGGGATGTGCTCCAGGAATTAGGCTTTTTCTACCTTTTCCAGTAATATTCCTTTCAAAAAGCTGCCCAGGAAACAAAAGGGCCTATTGTGTTGCCCATTAAACCACCCTTCCTGCTGTAAGCAGTTCAAGGCTCATGCAGAGCTACAGGCTAAGGCAGCCTAATCGGTTGAAAAGTGAAATATCAGTCAGCTTCCCTCCTTCCCTGCCTATATGATGTCAAACTGGTCTGACTGAGTTTTTTAAAATGCATTTATCATTTCTTTGGGTCTATAGCAAATCTCTTTATCCTGGAAGAGCTTGTGGTTTGCAATTTGGGTCAACAGTCACTGTCAAGAGGGAGTAACTTTGATAATTGCTCCAGGTTTTCTTTGTTTTGTTTTGTTTTGTTTTTCCTAACTGTTCTGAAATATTTAGCTGTCCACATGATACCATAGTAACTGGTTAAAAAGTGAAAAGGGTTTTCAGTGGAGCAAATGATTGCAGACAAGTTGGTTTTCTGCTGCTGCTGTTGCTGGGATGACTGGTTGTTTATGTCATGTATACGCATACTGGCTCAGTTTCTTACTTTACTGAGTTGCCCCCGAAGTGAACTCCCTAACTAGAAGGAAGCATGCTATAAATCATAGACTCTGAAGCCAGACACACTGAAGTTTATTAGCTGTGGGATCCTTGAAAGGCCAAATAATATCTTTTTGTTTCAGTTATCTCTGTAAATTGCACATCATGATATCTGCCTTGTGTTTTGTTGCAAGACTGTTAGGAAGCTACTCAGTGTCTACCTTGTGTCTGGTAGTCAGTGCTTCTTAACTTTATGTTTTGTTTTGTTTGCTAGTATTTTGCTATAAGGTGTGTGTACTTGCCAGAGTGTGAGAAAGAGAAAGTGAGAAAACACCCTCTGGGGGGTGGCCACACTGCAATCCCTCCTCCATCCTCTTCTCGGGATTTTGAGCACACACACACACACACACATGCCTGACATGCTTTTTAAGCCACAGGGTCCAGAACCCGATCCATGTGGGATCCAGCGCATTAACCACCATACCATCTGTTGACTCCAGTGCTTCTTAACTCAATTCACAGAGCACCTGGGATCTTGTGAATCTGCAGACCTTGATTCAGTTGGTCTGTGGTGGAGCTGAGGCTTTCTTCATTGCCAGAAAGCTCTCAGGTGACATTTGTGTTGTTCGGTTATGGGCCATTTTTGTGAGAAGCAAGGGTCTAGATACCATTCACAAAGTGCCCAGCACAGTTAGTGTTTAATGCATGGTCACCCCAGAAAAATTCACTCACTCATATAAAAATGAATGAAAACAAATACTTTTTCCACAGAAATACCACCCTGCCAATAGCCTTATTTTCATAGCCTTTACAAAATTTGTTTCATCAAGATTGGCCATGGTTGGACATCTCTGAAGGCAAGTGATGGGTACATAAGAGATCATTATACTCTTTTATTTTTGGGAGAGATTTTTTTTTCACTATAGGGCACATGTGCTCGCCAGACAGACAGAGAGAGACATAGAGACAGAAAGTGAGAAATCACCCCCCAGGGGGGATGGTCACGCCGCAATCCCTTCTCCATTCTCCTCTCGGGATCTTGGGCATGCACGCACACACGCCCGGCGTGAGTTTTAAGCCACCAGGTCCGGGACGTGAACTGCGGTCTACTACATGGGAGTCCATCGACATAGCCATTACGCTAACTGCTGGTTCCCGAGATCATTATACTCTTCACTCAACCTTTGTAAATATTAAAACTTTTCCATAATAAAAATTTTAAGTTAAAAAAGAACTTCCTTCCGGGACCTGTGGATAGTGTAATGGCTACGTCACTGGACTCCCATGTAGTCAACCGCAGTTCAAGTCCCGGACCCGGTGGCTTAAACTCATGCTGGGTGTGTGTGCATATGTGCCCAAGATCCTGAGAGGAGAATGGAGAAGGGATTGCGGCATAGCCATCCACCCTGGGGGTGATTTATCACTTTCTGTCTCTCTGTCTCTGTCTTTCTGGTGAGCACACACACCCTATAGCAAAACCTGTCCCCCAAAAAAGAAAAAAAAAAAAAGAGAAAACCCCAGGGCCAATAGGTGACATGGTGGTTAAGGTGTTGGACTCCCACATGATCAACCACAGTTTAAGTCCCAGACCTGATGGCTTGAAACTCACACTGGGGGCATGTGTCAATGATACTATATCGGTGGATACATGTCATTATATGTTTGTCAAAACCCACAGAATATACTACACCTACAGTGAGCTCTCCTGTGGACTTGGGTGAAAATGATGTGTCAATGCAGGTTTGTGGATTGTAACAAATGTACCACTATGGTATGAGATGTTGAGAGTGGGGAAGTGCTATAGTTTGTGTCCCCCTAAAATTTGTGCTGAGACTTCATTGTGAAAGTATCAAGAGGAAACTTAATACCTGCATGATGCTGAAAGATGGGACCTTAGGGAATGATTAAGTGATTAGGGTGGGGCCCCTATGATTGACTTCGGGTGGATCTATAAGAAGAGGGACTGATACCAGAACACACACACACACACACACACACACACACACACACACACACGAGAGAACACAGAGAAACACACACACACACACACACACACACACACACACACACGAATGAGCACAGAGACGTGTGCGCCTGTCCTCCCATGATATGACGCCCTGCATGCCATTGGGATGCCACCAACAGAAAAACTCTCACCAAATGCAGCTGAACCTTGGACCTCCAAAACTGTGAGCTGAATAAATCTCTATTCCCTTAAATAACTCAGACTCAGGTATGCATGTTGGGAGGTAGGAGAGTACATGAGAACTCTTTGTACTTTCTACACAATATTGCTATCAACTCAAAACTGCTCTTAAAAAGTAGACTATTTGAAATAAACCACAGATAGAAAACACCCCTTTCCCAAGAGCCTGAGACTAGCAGAGGGTGCAGGTCACCTAGTACAACGACCAGCTCCAACATCATGTTCATTAGGAGAGTACTTTCATTTAAATTCCCCAAGTAAATCCATTCTAACCTCATCTCTCATAACTTACAGTTGTGCAAAAGTAACTTACTGTGGGATTTCATCTGTGTGTGTGCCACATTTACATTTTGCCTTCCATCCCTGGGGTTAACACATTTTCCTTAACACTAGCACAGCTCGCACTTCATTTTGTCTAGATGGATTCTGTTTTTTCCTCTACCTAAAATCTGCCTACATCGTCCTGAAATTGTTTCATTCGTTCTTTTCACTTTGTTGACTCAGGCCTTTCTCTCACCTACCTGGATCACATCCTGAACTGCCGGGCTTATATGTTAAGTCCATGATTCACAAAACTCACTAAAAGCGGGGCATTCCCCACCATTTTCCTTGAACTGAAGTTGACATAGGCCATAGTAGGTGTCGCTTTAATTTGTTGAACATCTTCTGATTAACCAAGCGATGGGTGAGTCAGAAAACTTCAGTGAATAAAGGAACAGCCATCTTGAGTATAGTCCATTTGCATTTTTGTTTCTTTTGGTCATATACAGCCTCTCCAGACCAGTGTCCCAATTTATTCCTTTTTCTGCCTATGGCTTACTTAAAGGGTCTTTGCTGTGCTAACTGGACAAGTCCTCATCCTAATGCCCCAGAGCTGGGTCAACTCTTTGTTATTCTGCTTGGTATTTAATTTTACAGACTGATGTTTTTCTTTGGTATGTTGTTTGTCACTTCCAGATTATAGGTGTAGCAAATAGTTTCCTAATGAAATAATCACTAACTTGACATCCTCCTGCTGGGACAACACAGCTAATCTCTGCTGGGCCCCTCCACTTGAATCTTCTAATGTAACCACGTGGTCCAACTTCCACCCACCCAACTTCCTCTAGGTCTAAATTGTTCCTTTTAGGCAAGCTTTCAGGGCTCGAGGTGGCATTTGAAATCTTCAATCTCTTTCGTAATAACAATGTTTTGAAACCTTAGTGTCTATCTCTGTGTGTATGTAGAAACCCTGTAGGTACCTCTTCAACAGCTGCTGTAGTCATTCCACTTATTAGTGAATGAAAATACCCAGAAGACATTTATTTCCAGAATCCCTTCCAGAAACCTGAAACTTTACGTGCTGACCTTGTGCAACTCCTTTTGAAGTAAACTCGGGTGGCACAACTGTGCTGGCCTAACGATTTTGAGGTGGCAGAAACACCTGCAGTGACAGATAATTACAACTATTGCCCTGTCTCTTGCTGTGCATTTCCTGTTTGCTAGCTGTTTCCAGAATGAATCATATTTGTTTTCAAAATGGCAACTACTCTAACTTCTTCTCTTTTTTTCTCAATACCCTAAATACTTATTTATTTTTAATTTATTTTATACATTCAATCATTTGACATCACTTAGTTTCTTCTCTTAAACTTTGTAAGCTAACCCCTTGGCTAGCTTGCTTCTTTCTTCACTAGCCTATGTTCATCCCCTGGAATCATGCCAGTCAAATTTTCTTCACGATAGACAGGAAATAATGGCACACACATCAGTCCCAAATAGCCCCCTAGGCATCGTCTCAGAACACCTTTCCTCAAAGCATACATGCACCGCATGTCAGTCAAGTCAGAGATATCGCCATATACATCACGTGCACCAGATAGCTTTCCATTCTTGTGTCTGTTCGATTTTTTCCTGAGCCCCTCCTGCCCACCCTCCACTGTCCACCCCCTCCTCTACGGTCTTTGGTATCTACACTTGCATCCTGCTATTTTATCTTCCAACCTTACAAATGACTAAAGTTGTTTTTTTAAAAAAGCAAAACCTTGTATAAAGGGGGTCTTCCAAAACTTTATGGAAAAATATTTTTAAAAAGCTATGCATGGATTTCAAATTTTGTTTGCACTGAAAAAAAGGACTTTAATTCCATATTAAAAAAATTAAAAACTCTCCTCAGTTCGTGGCACACTCATCCTTGCCTTTTCTTGTGAACCCAGCTCCTCTGAATCAAATCCACCCTTTCAGTCTTGAACTATTCGTGAAACTGTTACTATTTACATATAAAAGAAATAAAGCTATATTTTTGCATAAAGAAACACTGGAATTATATTTAATAAAAATAGTCACTCTTAAGGAGCTGGGTGGACAAGGGATGGTAAGGACTGACTTTTCTTTTTTGTTTGGCATTTTTGCCATAGGGTGTGCTTGCCATAAATAGACAGAGAGAGGAAAAGAGAAATCACTCCTCTGGGGGATGGCCATGCTGCAATCTCTTTTCCTCCATTTTCCTCTCAGTATTTTGGGCACTCACACTCATGCACCTGGCATAGTTTTTAAGCCACCAGATCAGGGACTTGAACTGCAGAGTCGGCCATGTGGGATCCAGCGCCCTAACCACCTGTTGGCCCTAAGGACTGATTTTTCACTGTATACCTTTTCATAGTTTTTTGGTTTTTGAAGTATATTACGATTACCTATTCAAAAAATTTTAAAAAATGAATTCCCTTGATAAATTAAGAAACATGAGGCTATTTCTATTTCGTATATATTACTAGTCCTTTTTTTTTATGTCACTCATAGGAATATGAGATACTTTTAGGAAGTAAAGCTAAAACCCAGAGGTAGCCTCCCAAAATGTTTAAATAGATATCAAATGCAAGTCTCCATTTTCTTTTATTTTCTTAAAGTAATTTCTGTTCTTTACAATGTGTTATCACACACATACATACACACACGTGAGTACACTTACATGTGCACACACACATACAGAGGACTTGAGATGGCTAGAGAAACAAGGATAGCCTCCAAACATATTTTTTTTTGCCAAGTTCAAAGTAGATTACATTTATGTGCTTTTCAGTTATTATACAATGTACAGACATGATCCACTTAATGATTTATGCTCCCCAAATAGTTAAACAATGAGGATTTTCTATGAAAGACTAGACATCAAGCTTTTAGAAGCCGAGTACTGTTTCCTGCAAAAACCAACCTCAGGCATAGATTTGTGTTCACATATATTCCTTGAGAATACTACAGTAGCAGTGCATAAGGTCATTCTGTAAAAAGATCCGAAAGATGATTTTTCAAGAGACTTAATGCATTGTGCTTTCAGATAAAAATCCTAAGACAAAAGATCAGATACTATGACGGTAACAGTTAAAACTACATCTATAGGTTAGAGATCAGAAGAGGCTATAAAGAAATGTAAATAGTTGTGCTTAGGGGACTTTTTTGGTAAAGTTGTTTTAATAATAAATAAAAACTTAAAAAAATGTCTCAGTGACTGATATAAAATAGACACAGGTAGCAAGGGTTCGCTATACTTGGCTTAGAGCTTAAAGGTGAAAAATTATCCACCATAAACCACCTGGTATCTGGTAATCCCAATCTGGGCAAGTCACTTAAAGTTAGGCAGGCAAGGGGCTCAGGAGAAAAAATGCTGATTTCTCCTATTAACATAAAGCCTTAACCAGAGGTAAAGCCAGTGTGAACCAACTAACTAAATAAATGCCTACCTTCCTTTAGAAAACTCTTAGACTGAAGAGAGTGTTCACCCTCCTTCTGTTAGACTTTGTTCACAAAAACCATATGCTTGGCATCTGGACCTCAGTCCATTCTGTAGTTCACAAGATGAATTAAATATGTCCTGTCTTCTATGAGACCCTAGGATAAGCATGATCCCTTAGTACCTCATGGTTTTTGTTTCTGTTTTCTTACCCTCTACACATTAACTATAAAACTCTTATTTTAGAAACACCATGGCATCTGTTTATGATGATGGAGGGCAAGGTATAATTTACATAGTTAACGCCAATGTTCTTAGCTAGGAAATAGATGTAATTTTATTGTTAGGCTGGTCAGTTTGCTCTTTCAGGCCTTTAACTTTGAAGGACATGTGCCCCTTAACAATCAAAGAGAATTAGAAAAAAGATGAGAAAATAACAAATGCTCTAATTAAAGTCTTTCACACAATAGGTATAGAGATCAAAAGAATTTCTTCAAATAATATCCTAGCATCCTTGCCATCTGTAACATAATGGACTGGAGTCCTTCAAATAAAATTATAGAGTAATGCAAAATATATATTATACATTTGCAGTTATTTGAAATCATTCAATAGTTTGTAGCATGTTAATGGAGTAAAACAGAGATCAAAGGCAGTCCACATTCATATTTTCAAGATAAATTTACTTCGGAAGTCAATTGCAATCTTTGTTCATGTTCTAAGTATAGCCATTGTGATAAGACCTGAAAGGAAAAAAATTGGAGAACAGTTAGACATGCATTTTACAAAATCCTCCATTCAATAAGCAATTATTTGGACCTCATTGAGCAAATAAAATACAGCACACAGGCAGGCACTCTACCAAGAATGCAAAGTCAGTTTGAATTCAGTTGCTATTATACAGAAAAAAGCCAATTTACAGTGGGCAGTCACTGGATAGATGTAATTAAATCTCGAAGGTCTGGCTATAGCTCATTTCACCAAACATACCTCCTCCTTTACCCAGTCACATCAGCTATAGCAATAGCAGACACGCCATTTTAAAGAGTCAATAAAGCCAGCGGATTTGGTCAACAGAAACATCATGAGCCTGTTTGTATCCCAGGGCCCTAGGGCCACAAAGAGAAGCAGCATAGAATTCCTGCTTTGCTTGTTTCTCTTGAACATGCTCTCTATATAATCCCATAAAACTTTAATAACCTAAGAATATGCTCCATCCTAAATGAGTGGTAAGGACAGCGAGTGATAAAAATGTACTATGGAGAGGGGCGAGGGCTGGCAGGTGGCATGGTGATTAAGGGCACTGGACTACCACATGGCTAACTGCAGTTCGAATCCCAGACCTGGCAACTTGCTTTTTCGCTTTCCCTCTTTCTCCTCTCTCTCTGTCCCTCTCTGGTCTAAATAAATAAATAAATAAAGTTAAACAAAATAACTCCTTTTTTCATTAAAAAAAAAAGGTACTACAGAGAAAAATGATCAAACAGCACTGGAGCAGTCAGAAAAGTTGTCCCCAAATGTAGAAGCCGAGTATTAAAAGATGAGCAGGAAAGCTAGAAAGCAATGAGATGGGCAGGCCTTTTGGTGAGGGAATGGCAGGAGCAATGACCAGTAGGGAGGCCTTAGGACCCTAGATTAGATTTTCTGGAATCAGGAAATATTCTTATGGACTCAAGGATTTATATATCCAAGAAGCTAGGCAAGATTAGTTCAGAGAGGTCTTCGACTGTCAAACTATGAAGTGCAACTTCATCCTATAGACTTCAGGGAACCACTGAAACTTTCTGAGTAGCTGGGGTCAGCAGGTGGTATAGAGGTTAAGGCTCTGGACTTCCATATAGCGAACTGTGATCCAAGTTCTGGACCTGGAGACTTGAAACTCACACTGGGTGCATGTGTATGCATGTCCAAAATCCCAGGAAAATGGAGAAGGGATTGCAACATGGCCATCCCCTATGGGAGGTATTCCTCACTTTCCCTCTCACTGTCTGTTTCTCTCCAGTGAGCATATGCATGTTATGGCAAAATACTTTTTAAAAAAGAAAGTGACTAAGGCACTGGACTCCTAGGTGGTCAACCACGGTTTGAGTCCTAGACCCAGTGGCTTGAAACACACTGGGTACATGTGCATGCATGCCCCAAATCCCAAGAGGAGAGTGGAGGAAAACGGATTATAGAGTGACCATCACCCCCTTGGGGGAGGATTTCTCACTTCTGTCTCTCTGGTGAGCACATGTGCCCTATAGCAAAAAAAAAAATGTCTAAAAAAAAGAGAGAGAAAGAGAGAGCAATACTGAGAGAGATGGAAAAGAGTTGGCAACTAAGTAGAGGCGAGAGGTGAATATAAGGGAAGAGTCTTCCATCACCAGAACCCTAATACTTGATACATGGGAGGGACTAAATAAATGTTCAGTTGAAATAACTGTGGGGCCAGCAGGTGGCATGGTGGTTAAGGCACTATACACTCCAACATGGCTGACCATGGTTCGAGTTCCGGAACTGGTGGCTTACTTTCTCTCTCTCTCTCTCTCTCTCTCTCTGTTTGTGTGTGTTTGTGTGTGTGTGTGTGTGTGTGTTCTGGTCAGGTTAAAATAAATGAATGAATAAATAAAAAAGAAAAAATAATTATTTTTAAAAAGAGAAATACCTGGAATATTTGCATTTTACATTTCATACACGTGTTATACTACCTACTAGAGTATTAGGTACTAAATACGCTGACAAAAACTGAGGGCCAAAAATTAAATCTTCAAATGTATGTGACTTCAACTACCAGCAGTTGGCATAATGGCTATGTTGCTGGACTCCCATGTAGTTGACCGCGGTTCAAGTCCCGGACCCGGTGGCTTAAACTCACGCCGGGCGCGTGTGCGTGCGTGCCCAAGATCCCGAGAGGAGAATGGAGGAGGAGAGATTGCGGTGTGGCCATCCCCCCTGGAGGGTGATTTCTCGCTTTCTGTCTCTCTGTCTCTCGCTTTCTGTCTCTCTGGTGAGCGCACGCACCCTGTAGCAAAAACCTCTCCAAAAAAAAAAAAAGATTTTTGAGCCAGGATGACAGGAAGAAAGATTGAACAGGAAATAAGGGAAGTAGTTCAAAGAGAAAGGCTCACAAGATTAAACAGGGCTGCGTTGTTCATCTTTATCACTGTATGCCCTTTGTCTATGCATTTCCCTAGGAGCAGCTCCTAAAAGTAGAAATGTTGTACCTGGAATATTTGCATTTTACGTTTCATACATGTGTTATACTACTGTAAGTCAACAAAAGGAAAATAACTGAATAAATAGAGTATTAGGTACTAAATACACTGACAAAAACTGAGGGCCAAAAATTAAATCTTCAAATGCATGTGACTTCAACATGCTTTCGAAGTAATCCTCTTTTTTCTTAAAAAGAAAAAAAAATAGAGCCAGCAGGTGGTGTGGTATTTAGGGTGGTTGGATCCCACATGGCCAGCTGTGTGGTTCAAATCCTGGACCTGGTGGCCTGAAAAACTCTCTGGGCACATGTGCATGTATGTCCCTGAGGAGACAATGGAGTAGAAAGGATTGTGGCATGGCCATGCCCCGTGGGGGTGATTTCTCACTTTCCCTCTCTTTATCTCTCTCCAGCAAGCGCATGTTCCCTATAGCAAATAAATCCATCAATAAATCAAACCACCACCACCCCTACATACATGAAACCTTACACATATACCCCAAATGCATCTTAAAAACCCTTACCTAAGATATAAGCAGCGACTAATTTTTGATTCACACTTAAGTGGAGGTAGAGAGGCACCAGCGATTCCACATCCCCCAGCGTAGGCAGCATCAGGGCTGCGATGCACACCACTCCCAGGAAGACAGTTAGTAAACTAGGTCCTGAGGAGACAGTCCTGCTTTCTGAAAAAAGACAAGAACCTCTGAGCTTATTTCCAAAAACTGAAGACAAAAGTTCCTTTCCATGGACTGGAACCACTCACCAGGATTCTGGTTTTGTCTGCCTTCTCTGACTCCTTCCCTATCCTTCCCATTCCATGGAGACTCATCCATTGAACTTAGCTGGAAGCCCATAATGGAACTGATCTGTGTCAAAGGATGAAGCTGAACTGGCATTGTGAGTGAGCTGGTCCTACTGACAAGAACAGTGCTCGCCAACTCCTCTAGTCTTGCCCTGAGCTATTCAAACATGTATCAGCCATGCGTGGATATTTATAAATTATATGCATGAGTTCTGTACTATTATACTTCATATAAAACATACAAACAGAATTTTAAAAGAATGTGCTAAAAGTACACATAAATTAAAGTTCTGGTTTCTTTTGATAAGTTTTGCTATGGAGTGTGTGCACTTGACAGAGAGAGACAGGGCTGAGGGTGGTGGTGAGAAATCCATCCCCCTGTGGGGATGGTCACACCGCAGTCCCTTCTCCTCTCAGGATTTTGGGCTTGCATGCACACGTGCCTGGCATGATTTTTTCAAGCCACTGGGTCTAAGACTTGAACCGTGCAGTCAGCAGTGTAGGATCCAGTGACTTAACTTCCACACTACAGGCTTGCCCAAGTTCTGATACTTGTTTTCCTGTACTCCAATAGATTGCTTGTGTGTACTGCATTTGAGCCCAGTACTCACGATCTCCATTACCTTCTGAGAATCATCCAGGGAAGTATCCAGATAGATTTGGTCCTAATAACTCTAGTATCCTACCATTTTTGAAAACATTAAGTCATTGGAAGGATACTACTTGCATGTTATAAAGCTGCCTAGGAAAGTTCTTGACCTCTGCTTTACCCCATTTATACAAAACAGCAAAGCAGCAGAAACAATTTTGGGCAAATATTATATGCTCAGTGAAATAAGACAGCTACAAAAGGACAAATACTGTATGATTCCACTTACATGAGGCATCTAAAATAGCCAAACTCACAGAACCAGAGAGGAGAATGGTGGCTGCCAGGGGATGGGTGAGAAGGATAATGCAAGTTGCATAAATCTCAATCATGCAAATGAAGAAATTCTAAAGATCTACAACATGTTCCTATAGTTAACCCTACTATAGTATATACTTAATAATTTGCTAAGAGGGTATATCTCATGCTAAGTAGTCAATAAGACAAAATGTTAAAAGATCTGTTATCGGGACCAGCAGATGGCATAATGATTACATCACTGGATTCCCATAAAATTGACTGCAGTTTGAGTCCCAGACCCAGCGGCTTAAAACACACATTGGGTGAGTGTGCATGTGTGTCCAAAATCCCAAGAGGAGAATGGAGGAGACGGGATTGCAGCCTGACCATCCCCACTGGAGGGTTCTTGCTTTCTGTTTCTCTGTATTTCTCTGTTTCTCTGGTGAGCACACACCTCTATGGCAAAAATCTAGAAAAAAAAATCTGTTATCAGGCCTGCTAGCCTAGACTGCAGGCTGTATGTACACAATATTCATACCTGTATTTTTCAGAAACCCAATAACAGCATTTTTTTTATGTAGCTTTTCCCATTTCCCATCCTTTCAATAAAAGGAACAGCCAACAGCAACACAATCTTTGTGTTTCATTAATGAAGTAATGCTGTTCATTCTATTATTAAATGGAGCTTTTCTAAATTATTAATACCTCAGCTGTTGTGTGAAGTTTAATTGAACCTCAGTAAAGCCAGATAGGTGAAAATAAATTCAAATTTCATAGTGGTTATTGCTTGGTCTGAAACAATAGGATATGTACTTTTTAAAAAAAGTCTTATTTTAGTTAATAAATGAAGTAACTTTGTATGTTACAAGGATGAATTTTCAAGAAAACATTTTTGATAACTACACTGTTCATTGCAAACCCACAATAAAGATAATTACAAATACTTTTAGAGAAATTTTAAAAATATTTGCATAAATACTTGAAATTTTTCAAAATGGAAATGTCTGTTTTTCCCAATACTACATGATTATCATAAAAAATGTTACAGAAGTGTAGAAAACAAAGGTTCCACTGTAATCCCATTCTCCTAAAGAGAATACTGTTAACAGCTTGGTATATATTCTTTCAGATTTTATAAATGCACATTTAAACATGTAAAAGAAAATGTTTACATATAAATGAGACTATTTTATACATACTGTTCTATAACTGGCTTTCCCCCTCACCTAGAAATCTATTTGAGGGGCCAACAGATGGCATGGTGGTGAAAGTGCTGGACTCCCACATGGCCGACCATGGTTCAAGTCCCAGACCTGGTGGTGTGTATGCATGTGTGCCCAAAATCCCGAAAGGAGAATGAAGAAGGGATTGTGGTGTGGCCATTTCCCGGG